ACTCCTTCACTCCTTCACTCCTTCACTCCTTCACTCCTTCACTCCTTCACTCCTTCACTTCTTCACTCCTCTAATCCGGCAGTCAACTTTGAGACAATAGCAAATTTTCGATCTATGAGAAGGGTTGTAGTTATTTGCCCCTCTTAGATTCATTATTAATGCATCTAAGACACTGTTAAGTTGCATGATAGGCCCCTGTTGTTGAAAATGTTAACAAAACAAACCACGCCATCCGCTGGATAGTGATTTATCTGGCGGTGGATAGCATTATCCACTTTTCAAACAACCCTGGCCGGGTGTTCAGGTAATGGCCTTTTTGAAATCGTTTTTATCCAAAACGGTGAAAATAGTAAAACCCCGTTAACACGACCATGAAATCAAGTTGTCATACTAACGTGTTTGTTTCTAGGGCGTGGTTCAGATTCAGTTCTCTTCTCGAAAAATACATTAATATGGCGATAATTAGAAATGGTGACCATTAAATTAATCTAACAGCCATTATGCTACTTCTGTAAGCTTTTTTTTTTTGGATTAAAAAACCATGTGCCGTCTTTGTGAAGTGATAACCTAAGTACCTCGTTCCCATACATTTTAAAACAGAAATAACTGCTGAGAGAATGAAAGATGCGAATGCAGCCATAAATGACTACTGGAAAAATGACCTGAAAAAATTTCAGGCTCTGAACGGGAATCGAACTCACGACCTTTGCGTTACCGGTGCAATGCTCTACCAACTGGGCTATCGTGTGTGAGTTCGGCCCTGTATGTTCAGCGGACTTAATACTCGGCTCAAGTATTTCAGGCTCTAAACGGGATTCGAACCCACGACCTTTGCCAGGTCATTTTTCCAGTAGTGTTATGGCTGCATTCGCATCTTTCAGTCTTTCATTATTTAATTGCTACTGTTGGACATCTGTTACCATGGAATTCATAAACTTGAGCCTAGTATTACGTCCACTGAACATATAGGGCCGAACCCTCACACAACCGCTCTCATGTGGCTTTGATAGCTCAGTTGGTAGAACATTGCACCGGTAACGCAAAGGTCGTGGGTTCGAATCCCGTTCAAAGCCTGAAATTTTTTCACGTTATTTTTCCAGTAGTGTTATGGCTGCATTCGCATCTTTCATTCTTTCATTATTTAATTGCTATTGTTGGACATCTATTACTAAGAAATAACTGTGATTGTAGCTCAAGTTCACTCACTGTGTACAATGATGGAGAGGTGTTTAGTCACAGGCCTTCCAACACCATTGTCTGCAGTACATCTGTACAGCCCCTCGCTCTCTTTACCGGTGATTGTCAAAGGGAAGGACACAGGACTGTTGTCAGAAACTTTTGTCCAGCTAATGCTTGGTGTTGGATAACCATCTGCTGTGCAGTTCAGACTTACACTGTCACCTTTAATCAGTGTCTGGTTACCAGTAATGTGTAAAATTTTTGGTGCAACTTTAAAAAGAGAAAAGCATATTTTACAATCGTAAAGAAAATGATAATATCATAACAAGTGAAAGAATACGTCATAACTATGTTCACAATTCAAAAAAAAAAGAAAGAAATACATTGTCAAGGCTTTTCGTTACTTCCAGTGGACATCTCTTAAAGGTTTCGTAATCCGATCTGTTTTACGGTTCTAAATTTTCAGTGGCTTCTGTCCGCGTTCATCAGAGTTACAATGTTAAAGGTCTAGGTGACCCTGAGGAGTTCACCTATCTAGGGCACTAGGCTAGGATGATAGTACACATGAAGTCGAGTCTAGTGTAACTGAAGGTGTTTTCTTTATACATAGTTGCAGTTTTGAGGTTGATACATGTACTTTTACCTCTGAGAGCAAAGAAAACCATTATTTGGGTTTGCACTTCGATGAGGCTCTGACTTCGATGTTCTCGTCCAAAAGTAATTCTTACTAGCATGATAAATTAATTTAAAATTTCACTTATACTGTACAGTCTTAGGCGTACATTTACCTTCAGACTTGGGGGGATGAGCTGCTTGCTCAAACAAATTCACACAATGCCAAATGAGCAAAGTGTTATAGAAATTATCATTTGACTCTATTTTGGCGAGGCAAACCTCAGATAAAGTAGCCTACAAACCCTGAAACCTCCAACTCTTCCCAACTGCTGTGGCCCAAATAATGATCGTTTTCCCCAAAAACATTTTGAAACTTTGCGGGGGGAAGGTTACAGCTCCCCCTCCACCTCCACCCCAACCCACAGGCCATATACTAATGTGTACAATAACATCATCTCTCAGAAATTCTGAAATTTAGATTTCTTCAAAAGTCCTCCCAAAAAGAAAAAAACCTTAACCTGTGTCTCAAAGGACGGATTAATCCAGTATTGGGAACAAATTATTTTTCATGCTGGTACTTGCATAACCACAGTCTATTTTCATGTACCTGGTTAACGCAACCTGTTGAAAAGTATTTAGACTGTTGAAATAATTATATTATTGAAAAAAAATTTTATGCAATCCGATCTGGAAAAAA